TAGAACACACTTTGCTCCGGTTTGTGATTCTGAAAGACTGGGATTAACGTGAAGCTAATGCTGGCATGCTCACATTTGCATTCCTGTAACCCCAGCGCCTGCAGCTGTTGGCCCACCCCTGCTCACAGGTGGATCTAGCTAGTCTGAAGGTTCCAGAAATAAGCTGCTTGTTGGAAGAGTGTGCAGCGTTCTGCAGCATATGCAGACCTGCTCCCACTCCTCCATGGCAGGAGCCCGTTCCTCCTGTTCCTTGGTGCTTTGAGTGTGTTCTTGCCTTGAGTTCTGGGTTGTCTCTTATGACACGGAAATCTGTGTTACAGTCTGTCTTTGCAAGCGAAAGAAGTAGTACCCTAGCATTTAGTGCTGACAGTCTTACTACGTGCACAGCTAGATTGTAGGAGTTTGTGTTTTCTAGAGGGGATTTTCATCCTTTACAGTAGACTTCAGCATTTCCATGCTGACTGCTATGCCAAGATTTCTTCTTTATTACTTTACATTCTTTTCTTTCTGACTTCTCACTGACTCTAAGACCTTTCATATATGCCAATAACTTCGCCTGCTCTTGAGGAAATTCCCAGATAAAACTAAGATGACCATATATTCTTCAGGTTGATTTTTTTACTCTGTAAAATAGAGCACCTGTTTCCAGCTTCAGCCCACCGAGCTGCCTCTGTGTTATGGCATGGTTTTCCTGGAGCAGGGACTGTGTGTCTAGTCTATGCTATTAGTGATGGCAAGTTATGATACTCTGATTAGGACAGTTTGTAGATTGTGCTTTTTCTGCACCTTTCTTCTAGTCCCTCCTACTTTGGGGGTTTATCTTTCCAAGGTGGCAGAGCTTCCCACTTCTGTGCGTGAGTACGTCCCTGGCCTTCAGTCTGGCAGCTCATTTCATGTGCCTCCCGGTCAAACAGGAGTCTCCTCTTCGTGAGCATTCTGCTGGCAGCTGTGGCCCAGAAGCTAAGTTTTTGAGGAGACTAAACAGAAATTATGGACTTGGGGGAAGAAGGATGACCTCATAATACACTGATGAGCAGATAAGGAAGAGACTGTGTGGAAGAAGTGAAAGAAGTGTATGTATGTATTTAAATTAGAGCAGGGTAGCTACCCAGAGAGTTTCAGTTGACTAGTCAGTTGAAACTAGTCAAGTTAAAACTGGCATTGCACAGGCTTTGGCATGGTTGGTACGTTGCTAAGAGAGTTAGCTGTGAGTGTCTGTCTGTGATAGTCATTAGTACACTGAGAGCTGTCTGTGAAAACCAGCAACAGAAAAGCACCAACAAAATCCCACTACATTCAATGATTGGCATAGCTATTTTTCTTCTAAAATTTTATAAGTAGCTAGTCGGCTGGGAAGTGATTTGTATCTGTGCTGCCAAAGCAAGCACAGGGTAGTGATTTGTGATGCTTTGTGGATTACAATACCTGCGAAGTTGGTGGGACTACTTACCAGGTGGCAGTTCGTCATCATCTCAGACCCCTCACTCTCAGTCCTGAGTGAGGTCTCTAGCTACGTACGCTATGTATTGTTCTGAGAAGGAAGAAAGGCTGATTGAGGGAAATGTAGAGCTACTGTATTGCAACCATCCAGGCCCTGATGTCCCAGGCCTCTGCAGCTCTCACTCGTGATCTCACAGCCTGACAAGTAGAAGTATGTCTTTCCTCAGAGATTTAGTAGAATTCTGAAAACGTTTTGCAAAGCAAAGCGTTCTTTCCAATGATTCCCTGAAGTCAGCTGAGTTTATAAGAAATCACATCGTGTTCTATACTGGTTTAGTCTGTTGTTATTTATTTATTTATTTTGGTTTAGTCTTTAAAAATAGCAAAGAACCTGTGCGGAGCTGCTTCTAGATTGTTCCAGTGTTTTGAATATACCAACTCAAAGCCAAAAGGAGCTGGCGTTATGTATCAAGAGATAGAAATATTCTGTTCTTCTCATCTTCTCTTCCTTGGGGTTGGGGGAGGTAGCGTAAGGGCTCTTCCTGTTCTGTAAGTGTACTCGTGATTTATCACTCTCCATTCAGCTTTTCCACTGTTCTTTGTTTTCATTTCGCTTGCTAAATGAGGAAATACCTTTGACACCTATTTCTCTCATCACTACACTCGTTCATTTGCCAGATCTTTTCAGTTCTATCTCCTAAAATAGTTTTAGAACCTGTCCACTTCTCAGCACACCCACTTCTAGGCCACCATCATTTCTCACCCAGAATTCCATAGACTCAAACTGTTACTTCCCTGTAGTGTTTTTCTGTACACTAGCCAGAAAAATGTTTCTAAAACATAATCATAAACCTGACATCCCAGTCAGTGCTTAAAACACTGCCTTACCAGTGAAACTACCACTCCTAGGAAATTGTAAGCCCCTGTGTGTCCCGGCTCATTCCTCACCTCTTCTGTTCCATCTGTCACCCACCACTCCCCTGTATAATCATCAACACCATTGCCTCTTCCCTTTAATTCTTACTCTCCATCCATTCCTCAGCATTCCTGAATCTTCCCATCTCTGTGCCTCCTAATGTTAAGTACACTCTGCCCAGAATACTTTCTTCCTTCACTTTCCACTAGTCCACTAGTAAAACAGTATGTAACTTAGTCTTTAAAGTATTTGTAACAGTTAAGAAAAGTCACCATAGTAGATTCTCATTGTCACCGTCGTACAACAGGAACACCAGCTCCTGTTCATTCTGCAGATACCAGTTTAGATGTCACTTCCTAAATTTGGGAGGCCATCCTTGACTCCCTAAGTTCCGTTATAAGTCTGGGATAGGCTGAATTATGCTGCAGTAGTGAACAACGCTAAAGTGGTTTAACACAATTAAGTTAAAGCTATTTCTTGCCCACACTATATGTCCATCATTGGCTCAGAAGATAATCTCTATTCATGGTAGTTTCTCAGAGATTCAGGGTAATAGAGGCTCTATGTCACATGTGATTACGTGAGAAAAGATGGGAAAGGAAATGTGTCAAGTCATGCAGTGACTCTTAAATCTTCTTTCAGAAAGTGATGTTTCTGTTTATATTATTACCTTTTATAAAGGTAGGATATTTGTATTTATTATTCTGTCTATTGCCTTCATTAATGCTTGACTCATAGTAGTAATTCAAATATACTTGAATGAATGAATATAACACTCCTTATTGTGTGAGTCCTTAGGCCTGTGTGCTGCTCCTTTACCATTTGCCCTGTTATGATTTCAGCAGTCACCGTCCTGTGAATGATTTCCATGCTCTAGATTCAGTCAGACATCTCCAGCTACTACTTGATACTTCTTTTTGAATTTAAAATGCATAAATTTAAATTTATTCTTTTAGTAGGTAAAACATTATGTTAAGTGACATGAGGTCACAGATAATTAAGACAGTATTTGCTTTCTGAGTACTTACAATCCAGGATAATACAGGGGAAAATACTGTGAATCTACGGTACATACACACTGTACAAAGAAGAGGGACAAGTGACTTGGGGCAAATGGATTAGAACTTAGATTGTTTCAGTGATTGAATCTGTTGAGCAGGCATCACTGCTGAATACTGTTCTGCGCAGAGAACTAAAGATAAAACAAAGTGAAGTTTTTATCCAGCCCACAATTCAGCATGGATGTAGGTAGCTAAGGAGAAAAGGCTAGGTGAGATTTTGATGAAGTGTGGGGTGGTGATTGAGGGGTAAAGGAAATGGAACAAAGGAAAGTATTTCCACTGGAAAAGTTTGATCTGATTAAATATCTGGAGGCAGAAATTACTGTTGTTGTGCCAGGAAAGATTCACAGCTGAGGAACTGAATTAGGATGGTGCCAGTGAGAATCTGCTATGGTAACTTTCCTTAATGGTTACAAATACTTGAAAGACTAAGTATACATACTTTTTAAAAAGTATTATTGATTTGATTTACTTTATTTATGTGCCTAATTCTAAAGCTTCAATGGTTAAAATTATATTCAGTAAAGAATATTAGGCCACCCCAAGCAAGATGTGGGTGAGAGCCAGGGCAGGAGTTACTGCCTTGGTGCATTGCAGTTACTTATCCTGATGCAGAAATTAATTTGTACTTGTGACGCCAGTGGGATGCACTGAGCTTCACTGCTAGCTTATAGTTTCTGGAATAGGAACCCCCATCATCTACAGAAGGCTGGTCTCCCGGCCATGCGCACTTATATTTAACTTACACATAAACTAATTCTGTCTGGTTTGAAATTGGCATCTATGCCAAGCTACAGCAGCTTCTTTCACTGCTTGTTTTAATTTGCATTTCTTTGTCTCTTATCTTTGGGGTTTATTTTTGGGTCTGGTTTTATACATGCATCTGCCTGCTTCTTCATTCCTAAGCTGTGGTGTGGTCTCATTAAATTGCCCACACTGATCTTGAACTCCTGGCTTCAAGTGATCTTCCTGTCTCAGCTTCCTGAGTAGCTGGTACTACAGGTATATGTCATGTGTGTGGCTGATAAATAGTTTTAATTCTTTTGTAAACTCTTTCCATTATTGTCTTATTTGAGATGATGGGATTCTAGTATTCTAGTTCTTCCTGCCTAAAAGGACCATAATTCTTACAGGTAATAAGTGATATCCAGTTTATTCTGCATATTCCTTCTGGGTCCGTCTAGCGCTTGAGTTATAACTCTGAAGTCATGCTTCTGACACAAATATTAGAGACCAGTTTGATAAACGGATGAAATTTCTTAGTTGAATTTCATTTCTCAAGATGCCTAGGTATCACACCTGTAGCTCTTAGTGCTGAAAACAGCCTTAAGTCGCTCTCTACCCAGCTGTAATCCATTTATGTTACCTTGGACAAGTCATTTGACTGCTCGGGGCCTCAGTTTCCTTATAAGCACTTTTTAAGTTCTAAAACCCTATAATCTATTAAATTTAATTTATTGTAGTTTGAAGCTTTACTGTGCGTTGTTTAGGACTACTCAGGAATTAACTAAATTTAATGTTTTTAGAAATTGTCATAATTATGCAATGTAGTGAGATAATAAATGATTTTTGCTTTCTTTCAGATCTTTGATGATGCATACAAATCTCAGCTCAGCTGTGTGGTTGTGGATGACATTGAAAGATTACTTGGTGAGTCATAACTTTGCTCGTTGTACTCTGCCACATTACCACTGAAATCTCAAATACTATGAGAGACAAGTGATGATAATTGTATAATAGAGAGCAGTGGAAACTCCATTGTCTTACAAGGAAATGTAAATTATCTCGTATCTGATATCAGGAATAGTATTCACCATAAGATGCTTTATGACCTGAATTGCATTATAAACTGACTTCCTGTAAGGACCCATGTCTCGTATTATTTTCTGTCTTCTACAGTGTGTCCTGTCCCTAACAAATGATTAGTAATTTTGGTTGGTAGATATATTTGCTTTTCAGTGCTTCTGGGTTGCCTATAGCTCAGAGGTCCACTTGTGAACTTCGACAGAGTGAAAGAGGGTTTAGGGTATGAGTTATAAGTTATCTGTATCTCAGTTTCTGCTCTTTTGTCAAGGATTAGAATACATTTTTGGTTATCCACAGAGTAATTTTGAAGATGGAAAGGGGATAGTAAATGTTGAAAACATTCTGAAAGTTATAAGTACTTTGTAGTAATTTTTAAAATATTTGTTAAACATTTCCTGTGTTGAAGTACAATCCAACAGGATACAGAGATGAATAAGACTTAATCCCTGCACTCAATTCAGGAGTAAACTGGAAGTAAATACCAGATAATTCTTGTTACTCTTACATTTTATTCACTGTAAAATTAAATCAATCTAGCATAAATCATTATAATAATGAATCAGGATGGAATAATAAAGTCCTTTGAAATAGAAAGTCACCTGGGTCTGAGAATACTATTCAGCACCTGATTAACCTTTGTTAGGTTGCTTATAGTAATGTAGTAATGATTTCAAGTTAACTGTTAACATATTTCCCCCATATTTGGACTTAATTAGGTCCTCTATTATTTATTTTTTGAAGTTTTGGCAATATTTGTTATAAAGCAAAGCAGGTATACCTGTGAGGTCTCCTTAAATTGATAGTTTTATCTGATGACCTTGGTTTCTGGTGTGCTATGTTTGATTCATTCTCAGCCCAGTTTATAGGATTATTTCTTTAAAAGCTTTTAGCCACATACTTATAGCTCTGTGTAAATTCCTTTATCTAAACACAATTGAGATGTGTGGTCATAGCAACACTACTATGTCAGGAATGTGTGCCCTCTGAGTATATTTTCACTTGTATGAATAGTTATTTTCTGTACTTGTTTGTTCATTTATTCAGTAAGCGTTTGCTGAGTCCTCACTACTGTGCTAGAATTACTAGCACAGAAAAGTAACTAAGATGCTCTCTGTCTGTTAATATGTACAGTATTGGGAAAAAATAATGCAAAGCAGAATGTGTATGTATTCTGGATACTCAGAAATCAGAGGGATTACTTTTGGCTTCAGGAGCTCATGCCTGCAGGTAGCTCTAAGCACAAGGCTGGGTTCCTATACAATATACAGAGAAAGTTAAGAGTGATATTTATGCTGAATCTTAGTAGAAGCTTAATAGGAAGAAAGTTCCACAAGGTCATGAGTTCAACTCCTGGTACCGGAAAAAAAAAACAAAAAAAAAAACAAAAAGGAAGAACGTTCCTTTCACCATCTGCGGGCCAATCTTAGTGGTTTTACCATTATTTTAGTTCTATTACAATTTCTTACTGTCCCCACCTGGCACTGGAGATTGGATTCAGGGCCTTTGCACTGAGTTACCTCCCCAGCCCTTTTTTATTTTGAGACAGCATGTGATGAAGTCACCAAGTTGCCTTGGCTGGGTTCAAACTTTTGAACCTCCTACCTCAGCCTCAGTAGTAAGATTACCCTGTGTGCCACCATCCCAGCTCCCCTCCATCTGTTTTCTAACATCAGGTGTCATTGTCAATATGCTCTACTGCTCTGGTTTGCGCTAATTTCTTAGAAGTGCTTGGTAAGCACACCTGGGTATTTTCCCCTTTTAGAAAAAGTGTTTCTGGAAACCAAATAAGATGTTTAGATGAACTAAAAATGATTGTTTAGATTTTTCAGAATATTTATAGATAAGTATCTTTTATTCAGATAAGTATTCTTATGTGATATTTTAAGCATTTAGGTAATTGGGTATATTTTTTATTAAAAATAATTGACTCTTACTTAGGGTGACTGTTATTTACTCGTAATGTAGAAAAATCTGAATATTCAGATATGTGTCCGTGTGTAATAAATCCCTAATCGCAGTGTTTCTCCTCCAGATTATGTCCCCATCGGCCCCCGATTTTCTAATCTGGTGTTACAGGCTCTTCTTGTGTTACTGAAGAAAGCACCACCTCAGGTAAAAGAAACAAACTAAGGAGTATGTTCAGTTTTTCAGTAAATTGCATATAATGGTGCACACTCTCTGAGTAAACAGATCATTATAAACACAAAATTTTGTTGTTGAGAAGGCATCTGGTCTGGCCTTAGTCTTAAGGTAAATTATATAATTTTTCCAACATACTCCACAGCCTTATTCCCTTCACCCAAAGAGACCATATCAATATAGAAGGGATTAAGTACATGTTTCCATTCATTTATCATTTCATAGATTCCCTAAGGAAATCTAAGTTTATTTATTATAGCCAAGGTTTTTAGTTTATGTGGTTTTATTATTATTGTGTTCGTGTTTGTTTGGCTTGGCAGTGCTGGGGACAAAACTGAGGGCTCATGCATGGTAGGCGAGCACTCTACCACTTGACTCACCCAGCCCAAGGCAGGTTTTGTTTTTAACTTTTACAGATGATCTTGAATTATTTCTCTTATGTCACGTGGTACTTTTAAGGAATGAAGTTGTAGCCAGGATCTTGGTTCATGTGATTGTATTTTTACTGATGTGGCAACTAGAGATGTGACTTTCAATGGCTTAAAATTTTAAAGCTAACATATGAAGATTGGTTAAATATGTTAATTATATAGAGGCTACCAGAGCATGTTTTGGCTATATCAAAGATGAGTTGTCTTGATTGATTTGGTGTGCTGTAATCTTGAAGAAATGCCAATCAGAGGCATACACAAATTGGTTAAGCATTAATGTAAAAAAAATCTTAGTGTCTATATGGGGATTATGAAAATACAGATATAGACTAATATATATGGAAAATACTTGATTTTAAGGTGGTGTGACCAGTTTTAAAATTATCTGTGTGCAGTCAGGCATGATGGTGCACGCCTGTAATCCCGGCACTCAGGAGGCTGAGGTAGGAGGGTCCCTGTGAGTTCAAGGCCAGCCTGAACTACACAGAGAGACCCTGTCTCAAAAAGAAAAAGAAAAAACCCGTGTGCATATTTTTCTCTTAAAGGTAAAGGACTTGTCTTGATTTTCTAGGTCTTTTGGCTTTTTAAAATTTCTAAAGTAGTGAAAGAAGCATAACCTAGAACACCCTTGAAAATTTACTGCTGCATATAGGCACTGTGGAAGGATTTTTTGTGTGTGGGAGGGTACTGGGTATCAAACTCAGGACCTCACATTTGCCAGGCAGGCGCTATGTCACTGAGCTCTGTCCCTGGCCCTGCGGAAGGATTTTTAAAGCATCTTTCCATGAGCCATCATTCCCAGTAAGCTTATACTAAGGGTGAAGTTAGAGAAATGAGTACATCTTTCCCTTTTCTAATTCCATAAATAATTTTATAAATATGTAAATAGATATATCTAAAGATGCTGAAACAAAAATATTTCTCTCCAATATCTCTCTAGAACTGTATGTCACACCCACCAAAAAAATCCCTTTTTTTTATGTTAACATATTTAAATTTGTTAAACTAGGAATTGTTTTCTTTGCATTTATATTTATTTGTGTAATATTCAGTTTTTTAGGTTAAAAAAGTATGCTAAAATCACTTGCAAAGAGGAAGGATAACCTTTCAGTGCTATTTTAAACTTCTTGTCCTTCACATAGTTTAACACTGTACACATTGATTTAAATAAAGTTACATCTCCTGTCTGAAAGTTACCTGTAATCCAAAACAGATAATGACCTATAGCATTTGACTGCATATTTAAAAGCAATTGTTTTTATTTTGTAAAAGTACTGTAATTATACGACTCCTCAGGAAAAGAACATTAAGATACTTTTTAAATCACATGGCATCTGGCATAGAGGCTTATACATACATTTTTCATGAATAGTTATTCAAAAGTATATATGTATGTAACTTAAGTATATATTTTTACAAACTATATATTTAAATGTCTTATTTTAGTGGGCTTAAGTGTTTTTGTATTGCTAGAATTCAGACAGGGTAGAGTTAGACGGGAAACACTCAAGAATAAGCACAGCTTAGATGGCCAGCAAGGGTGAGAAGGTAGTCAGCGCCTCAGTCACTAGGGAGATGCAGACCAAAACCAATAAAGTGAGGCTCCACTGCACACCCCCTCAGTGACTGGAATCCAGGAGTCATAATAACAAGTCTTGGTGAGAAGGTGGAGAAACTGGAACTCATTCACAGCAGCTGAGAATGTCAAAATGGTACAGCCTTTGGAAAACAACCTAGAAGTTCCCCAAAAGGTTAAACATCAAGGCTACCAAATGCCCCATCGTTTCCACTCCTACTTACATACCAAAAGAAATGAAAGTATATGTGTACTCAGAAGCTTGCAGGTGAATGTTTATAGCAGCATTCTTTGTAATAACCAAAAATTGAAATAATACAAATATTTTTCATCAAATGAAATAAAATCTAGCATACCTGTACAATGAAATATTAGTCAGCAATAAAAATACAGTGGTGATATATGCTACAAGATGAACCTTGAAAACCTGCTAAGTAAAAGAAGCCAATCAGAAAAGACCACACACTGAATGACTCTGTTGTATGGAATATCCACAGTTGGCACAGAGGCAGAAAGTAGATTCGTGGCTGCCTGGGGCTAGGAAGGGTGGATGGGGAGAAGGGGTGGTGACTGCTAACGGAACTTCTTTTGGGGTGATTAAAATATTCTAAATTGATCATGACAGTGGTTGCACATATTGTGAATGGACTGAAAGCCATTGAATTTTACACTTTAAATGGATGAACTGTGTCATGTATGAGTTCTGTCTCAGTAAAATGGTCACACTTTTTAAAGGTGTGGTTTCTTAACCTACTTAAAAGATGAAAGGAGAATTACACGGAGAGTTAGAAGGTGAGTATCCAACTTGGGTGAGCTCAACTTGGGAGAAATCTCGGAAACAGCAGCTAGATCACTAGAAAGGGGTGTGACAGTTTCTGTAAGGACTGAAGAGGAAGGGTGTGAAAATAGGGAAGAAGGAAGAGATCTGATTGCCTAGTGATTGGAAAGGGCAGGTGTTCTTTTAAGGGATTCCAGCCTGTCATTACTCAGAATTTGGTGACCCCGACCTGATCTACTAGATGATCTGCTGTATAAGTAAATCAGTGGCAAGGGGAATGAGCGTGTGTAATATTTCTAGTTGGCATGTACTTAACAGAATAAAATACCCCGTGTCTTATCACCTTACTTTTTAAAATTAGTTTATATTGTCCCGAGAAAATAAGGGAGAATTTTCTGGCGGGTCCAGTGCCAAAAATACTTGTCATTCTGAAGTGAAAGCATTCACTTACTTCCCCAGATCATTTTCATGTCGGTTTGCAGATATTTCCAAATAAATATTAAAAGTATATGTACCTGAATGATGTAAGGTACCATAGTGCACTAGAAAACTATTATCTATCACGGGTAAGATAACAAAAACTGTGCATTCTTCTTAAAAAGAACTGTGTATGTGTACAATGCAGCAATCATATCAGTCACAGGATCCTTACTGTTGCATTTGTTGTAATTCCAGCTTCCACACAGAAAAATTGTGTGTGCATGTGTGCACATGTTCAAATAAAAGAATCCCTCCAGGGGCACTATGTTGTTATGTATCAAGATATTCTCTTTTCCGCTTTTACCCCTCCCCCAGCCCCTGTAAATTGGCTTATTAAAACTGGTTCACAAGCCCTTCTTTTTTCTCTTTGTGATTGCCTTCCTCTTGAATTTTCAGTGTCGAACTAAAAATTCAAGTCAGATTTGAGTCACTAGGATAATTTTCTTTGAATTTTAAATTTTTCTAAATAAATGCATAGATTTTTAATGAAGCTAGTATTCAATGGATTTGCTTTAAATTTAGCTGGAGTTAATTTCATGATTGATTTATTAGCCCTTTGAAAGTATAAAAAGTGGTATCTGTGGTTCATGAAGACTGAAAAACATCATCACATTTTGTTTAGCATCTTTTTAAAACCAATTAAAAGCTTTTCTAAAATGGATTGAACAGGAGAAAATAAAACATGTTCCCTAGGTCTTTATTTCAATCAAGTTTCCCTGTGTTCTGCAGGAGAAGAGATCGAGGGGGGATAGAAAAATTGAAAAGGGCTGTCCCAGCAGGGAGCCGGGCTGGAGAAAAGGGCTTCTCTGAGAACTCAGCAGCAGCAGCTCAGAAAGCTCGCAGCCTGCTTCATCTACATGCAGAGTCACACAAGGCATGGGGGCGCTCCCCGGCACACAGGGGTTTCACATGTGCTTCCCTGCTGATTCCTGTGAAAAGCTCACAATTGGCTTGGAGGGTAAAAGACCATTGCAGTTCACCCTCCCTGAGCTGGACGTACAATTTGTCCAGTGTTAGGAAATGTCCGGCTTAGCAGTGAGAGGCTTGAAGACACCCCTCCTTCCAGTGAGATCCCTAAAGCCGTCTCTTTTGCTTGATGGCATTGGGGCTCTTTTCAGGTTTTGCAGATTTATGAAAGTTGGGGGGTGTGATTTTCCAGACCAAGAGAATGAAAGCCTCAGTCTTAATATCGAGGAAGAAGCAGCAGCGGAGTGGGAAGGCCAGGTGAACCTTCACGCAGCCCCCGCTGGTGCCTGTATCGTTTGCCACGTAGGTCTGCCACATTCTTCTTCTTCTTTTTTTTTTTCTTTTCCTTTTTGGGAAACAAGACAAAGTGCCTGAAAAGGAGCTCCTTGTGCTGTGCAATGACATGACTTCCCAGGTTCCTCAACAAGGCTTGAGAGTCGCTTAAGCTCATTAACTTGTTTAATTCTGGGTGTGCTTGACATTGCTAGAAATCAAACTGGAATGTAACAGAATAACACAGAGGTTCATGGAGAACCTTCCCTCTTTCAGGGCCTTGCAAGCTTTTTATATCATGGCGTGGAACATGATAACTTGTGATGATAAACTTGGGTGAGTGGACAAGGACACTCAACTGGCCAGGAGCCAGCTACCCTGGTTACCATTTGCCTTCCCTTCAGCTAACAGGACTTGCTATGTTAGTCCACATGTAACTCATGTGCAGCACACCAACAGGGACTTCTTG